GGGTGTGGGTGTGGGTGTGGGTGTGGCTATGTACTAAGGAAAAAATAACACCCACACCCACACCCACACCCACCCACACCCACAATATTTAGAAAGACCATTCAAGAATGAACAAAATGTCCTATTTAAAGTTTGAATGTCATTGACTTTTGCTTGTTTTTTCTTCATTCTTTTGCTGCGACAATAATTCTTATCCTTCTTACTAAAACCAAATTTCGGAGATGAAGATCGACTGATCTTTTTTTTATAAATCGATAGAGCATGAAATCCTATATCGATTTGTATAGTTTTTTTTCCATTTTAGAACAAATCGCTTGGTTAAAAAATATGAAATATTGAAAGGCATGTAAATCCATTTTTGCATAGAAAAATATTCTTTTTATTATGAAAAATTTATATTTGTACCTCATAATATGAAAAAACATACTCAAAAGAAAATGTGAAAAAAAATACGGAAAAACTATAATTTCATTTAAACTTGTGCCTCTGACTATTTTTTTATGTATAACAAACTTTAGGATACTAAATGAATTTTTCGAGCTATATTTTGTGCTTTTTGATGTAATAAGAAGATATTTCTAGATATTATATTATACCAGTGAATAGAGCATTTCGAGATCTATCGATCTATATGGTTTACATTTTGTGATATTCATGATCTCTCTCTCGAACCAGTAATGATTTGTTGAAAATGTTAACCGACAACTAACATAAAACGATACTTTGATGATTATAAGCGTACAATTAATAGAAGAGATATAGTTTTCATCAATAAGCAATATCATGTTAGAAGCCTATTTGAAGTTAGCAAATATAGAATAGCTTATAGAAAGTTATGATAAATTTATTGCATCAAAATAATTCTTCTTCAATAATATCTCAAAACCAATACCAAAACCATCAAAACCATATTAAAACCAAGACTTTTGGTTTTGGTGAATGCCTAACCACTCCCATAGCCGCAAAGATTACATGTACAACAGAAGATTAAACTAATAAATGTAAAATGAAAGGAATAAATAATAATATAGTTCCAGATTGTATATAAATATACAAGAGAAAGAGAAACTAATAGCGTAGCTCCAAAAATCACACAGAAAAATAAAAAATTTGAATGAATAATAAACAGAAAAGAGGATACCGCAGTCGTTTCACTCGAAGATAAGTAAAGAAGATGGATTGTTACAATATGATTTCAGATTTATATATGGATGTTGATAAAATATTATCTGTTGAAGTTATAGAATAGTCAATTGAATGTAAAGATGAAAATTTTTCACATCCTATTCATGTTACATGAGCTGGTATTGTTAATGATCAACACGATTCATACGATGGACTAATGTCCATTTCAGAGATAGATGGTCGTGAGCATTTTTTGAATAACTCCACAATAACAAAAGATAAAAGAGCTGATATTTTAACACTATCTAGAGTTGAGGTTGCTCTATCTTTTCATAAAGTCGACGAAAATTTTCCGTCTTTTTTGTCTCGTGTATATTATAGTTTTTCAAAATGAACCAATTTCGGTATAGATACAATGTGCTTTTTTAATAATAATAGAATGGGCAGATAGCCTATCCTCGCCTCTATCGATCCACGCAGGACCGAGATCGATAGCTATTTCCATTCCAAAAATGCAAAGACTATACTGAAGACTAGTAACCAGTTTTTTTTCCAAAAGACACCGCGGGATTTCATCGTAAATCTGCCACCTCTCAGTTTTCATTTTCAATATTATAGAAAGGATAGAGCTTGAAATTCTACACCTTTCTGGATATTTAGTTTTATTTTTTCTTTATCAGAAAAAAATTTTTCCAAGACTACTTTGTCTGGGAAGGAGAAGTCTATGGATCTTTTATAAGTTTTCAGTGTTTCGAATGATAACTATAAGGTTCATCATTTTTTTTCTATTTTAATCTCAACGCCAAAACTAGTAACATAGATCGATGCAATTTTTCATGCTCTACAAATCTATATTTATTATTCCTATTTCTTAAAAGTTTTTTTCTCGAGTTATATAGGTTTAAAATTAGATTAGATTGACTGAAAAGTACTATTTCTGTGCATTTTGGATGATTTTTCATATTTTTGTAAGATGTTTTACAATTTGCAAGTGAAGTTAGACATAAACCACTTTGTGTTCAAAAACTGCGTCGTCTCGCACTCTACAAATCTTTATAGTTCATAGAAAAAGTTATATTATCCTAAGACTAGTTTTATTGGCACATTGTAAGACCATGACCATTTTGGGAGTAATTTTTGACCATTTTCATAGTGATTCTTCATCTAATTTGAAATTTAGAGAGCGAAATAAATATCATATTCGGAATCATCATAAAAAACAATGGTATATCATATACATTTCAGAAAAAAAAAAGATTTTCTACGAAAAAGTCGATGTGGTCCTCCTCAGCAATTTTTTTCTCAGATTTCAGCCGTGGTCCACTCGGAGTGCCTTTTTCATAGCAAATTTTTTATACCGAAATATATATGGTATACCATAGTTTTTTGTGCTGATTCCAAATATAATATTTTACTCTGAACTTGAAATCAGATGAAGATTTACTATGAGAGTGATCCAATAATTAACCTCAAAAAGGTTATGGTCCGATAAAATTGACTAAACATATCAATTTATTATCATCAAAATCTATATATTATATTTATTTTGATACTATTCTAAGTATAAAAGAAAGCTCTAAAGGTTAATAAATCATGTCATGAAATCAAAAAGCAGCAAATATCATAGAAAAAAATACACTTTATTCGTTCAAATTTTGTAAAAACTGGGCACTAATCTTCAGTATAGTCTTTGCATTTTTGGAATGGAAATAGCTATCGACCTCGGCCTTGCGTGGATTAACAGAGGCGAAGATATGCTATCTACTCATTCTATTATTATTAAAAAATCACATTGTATTTATACTGAAATTGGTTCATTTTGAAAAACTATAATATACACAAGACAAAAAAAAGACGGAAATTTTTCGTCGACTTTATGAAAAGATAGAGCAATCTCAACTCTAGATAGTGTTCAAATATCAGCTCTTTATAACTAGAGCCAACAAGTATTCATTTAAACTTTTTTCTGTGGTTAAATAGTGAAATTATTGAAGCAAGTTAAAGTACAAATGAATATTTCTAATGATGAACTTGTAAAAATCATTTTATAAATTGTTCCAATAAGAAAAATATTTCTTTAATTCTCTGTATATTATTCATTAGCGACATCACAAGTATTATGAATTGCACTGACTTTGCTAATCATTAACCTATATCATGAAATCGAATTAACTAGCGTCATCTATTCATTTTCAGAAAATAACCAGCATAATATTTAGTAGAAATGATTAGTTTTATCATGTTAATTCTAAAAATACGTAAATCTTTTTATTTGATCCATATGGAAAAAAAAAATATTCACACAGTGCATTTAGAAATACCCACTAAATATATAAGAACAATCATTTCATCAGAGAGTAGATCCTTATCTTCATTTAACTCATTGTTGTCTGTTCTTCAAAAAATATTACCAAATGAAAACTGAATCAAGTACTACAACATTAGAAGGATTAAAGTATGAATCATTTTGTGAGAATTTAATGTGACATCAAAATTTTAATAATGTATTTTCTTTCCATTTATAGTAAAAAATCATCATTTGGATCATGTTTAAAGAAAATACATATACAAATCATTATTTTTCTCGGTCTTTTTATTATTTTTATAATAGTCCTAGGTTTTTTCATTGCTCTTCAAAAAAGTACTCAATCAGTAGATGATATTGATTAAATAATATGTATATCGAAATATTTATTTTAATTTAGGCAATAATAATTTATGCCAGAGTTCATTTTGTATTAAAGCAGGTAAATGTTCTATTAGATGAAAAATAAAGAATATACTGTTCTATTTTCTTTCACAGCTAAATATCTCATCAACAGTATCGATCAATCAATTGATCCATGTGATAATTTTTATCAATTTACTTGTGGAAAATGGTTAAAAAATAATAGAACATCTGAGGATGGTAAATAAAGAACATTTGTTTTGTGAAACATCATTTATAATTAATTTAGAAAATAAATGGAAATTTCCCGGTATAATACTTGATGAAAATATTATTGGTAGGTTATTATAAATTTGTTGTTCTTTAATATAGTTATGATTTTTATGTAGATTTACTATCGACAAATGAAACAATTAAACTTCAATCTGTAATGAATGCTCGTATTTTATATAGTTCATGCATTAATGAAACAAATATTGAAAAAGAAGGAATTGATCCTGTTTTATTATTAATTAATACTCAGTTTGGTGGTTGGCCTATATTACAAGCTTCATCATGGAATAGTTCAACATTTAATTTAATAAATCTATTACTTAAACTTCATCAATACAATAATAATTTTATTTTCTCAATATCTAGTGAAATTGATGAGAAAAATTCAACAGCAACTACTATTTTAGTAAATCGAATTGATTATCTATCGAATTAAATTATTTTAATAGTAATTTATTGTAAAACATAATATTACTTTAGATTGGTCAAGGTAGTCTTGGATTATCACAACGTCAATATTATACAAAGGAAACTAATATTACAATTGCTTATCGACAATTTATGTATAGCATAGCCAAAGCATTAACAAATGATACTTCAATGATCGATCAAGATATCAAAGAAATATTCGATTTTGAAAAGAATATTTCAAAAGTTAGATTTCATCACCTTTTTGTATTTTATGTTCTTTTCTATTTAGTATCATTGGACTTATGTTGAACAACAAGCTCGATATAATAAAACAATTCGAACAACAATTTCTAATCTTTCTCGTACATTAAAAACTAGTGTAAGTCTTTCTTATCTTTATGAATTATTCTTCGTTTTTGTTGTTGAACAGTTTGATTTTACTACTTATCTTCATCATCTATATTTGTTTGGTAACGTAATTCTAAATAAATTCGATCTTGTAACAATAAAAGAATTAGATTTTTTGATTAATGTTATATCTATTGTGAATAAAACTTCATCACGTATTGTTCAAAATTATTTTATATGGCGTTTTCTAATGAGTCAATCAGAATATATGCCAAAATATATACGTAATATTAAAGAACAATTTAATCAAGTTTTTCAAGATACTTCTACTGAAGAATTAAGAACAGTAGAATGTGCTACTTATGTTAATAAGCATATGGGTTTAGTAATTTCGAAACTTTATATTAAAAAATATTTTGATAAAAATGCTCGTAATCAGGTATCGAAAATAAAATATCTAAATTCTAAAAATTTCATATTATGATTAATAGTCGTTAAAAATGATTGAAAATATTCAAAATTCATTTATGAATCTTATCAATCAATCTTATTGGATGGATGATATATCAAAAATGAAAGCAATAGAAAAAGTAAATATTTATAATTGTATATATATAATCATTGTGAACAATAAATAATATTTTAGGCTAAAGTCATCGATAAAAAAATTGCTTATCCTGATTATTTAGTTAGTGATAATAATACAAAACTTGAAAATGATTATTCAATGGTATGATTATAAATATATATTTTGAATATAATTAATTTATGATTTAGTATGTTTTCAATACATCTTTTATTTATAATACTTTCAAAATTTATCAAATAAAAGCTATAGAAAACTTTCAATTTCTTCGAAAACCTATTGTTCGAAAAGTATGGCCATCTATTTCATCAGCTAGTATTAATGGATATTATGATCCATCTCAAAATCAAATTAGTATGTACATATTTTCATGATTGATAAGTATTGATTGTTATCTGTAGTTATTCCGGCTGGTATTCATCAAATGCCATACTTTCATAAAGATGCTCCAAAGTAAAAACTAAACGATTCATTATTAAAAAAAAAATATCTTCACATTTATTCTTTTAAGATATCTTAATTATGGTAGTATGTATTATTCAATATTGACGATATAAATACTTAGGGTTATCCAAAAGTAGTGACGGAGGTTCTTTTTTTTATGAATAGATAGAGCGTCTTTCGCTCTATCTTTCTATGCTATTTGACCACTATTAAACTAATATCATAATAATAAAATTTCGATAAGAGCTTTTTTTTTGTTGAAAACCAGCTGGTAACATTTAGATCATAATGAGTGTGGTATTTTTGCATTCCACTTTATTATCACATAATATGTTGTATTGAAAAAACAAAATATATCAGAAGATGCAGCGTGAAAAGCTCTGCAATTTATAAACTACTGCTTATTTTATAGTTGTATTTTTTGTTCTAAAAATGGACAAAACTCTGAGTTACCAAGTTTCAACGTGACGAAAACGAGAGTTTTTTTTTGGTAAAAAAACGAATTCGGTCTTTTTCTATCTTATCTCTGTATAGTTTATTCTTTGTAAATTGTAGAACTCTTCATGCTGCATCTTGCAGTGTATTTTGCTTTTTAAAATAAAACATATCAAGTAATAAAAAGATGAGATAGGAAAAACGGAATTCATCTTTTACGAAAAACAAAACAGTCTCGTTTTCGTAACATTGAAATTTGGCAACTCATAGTTTTGTTCATTTTTAGAACAAAAAGTACAACTATAAAATAAACGGTGCTTTATAAATTGTAGAGCTTTTCACGCTGCATCTTCTGGTATATTTTGTTTTTTCAATACAACATATTATGTGATAATAAAGTGGAATGCAAAAATACCACATTCATTATGATCTAAATGTTACCAGCTGGTTTTCAACAAAAAAAAGCTCTTATCGAAATTTTATTATTATGATATTAGTTTAATAGTGGTCAAATAGCATAGAAAGATAGAGCGAAAGACGCTCTATCTATCCATAAAAAAAGAAAATTTTTTGCAAGCTTTCTATAAGAAAAAAAAAGAACCGCCGTCACTACTTTTGGATAAACCTACGTAGGAATAATTGCTTAAGGCATTGGAATGATTATTGGACACGAAATTACACATGGATTTGATAATACAGGTCGTCAATTTGATAAAGATGGAAATCGAATACCTTGGTGGACAAATGAAACAATTGAAAAATTCAATGAACATAACCAATGTTTTATTGAACAATATAGTAACTTTAGTATACCAGAAATTGATATGAATGTTCGTATCATTTTAAAATGAAATTTACTGTTGTTGTTGTTATTATTATTATTTTGGTATTTAGAGTAATGGTAATCAAACACAAGATGAAGATATTGCTGATAATGGTGGACTTAAAGCTGCTTTTTATGTAAGTAGTTTATTCAATTTAAATATAATAATGCAATATAAATATTTATTCAAAAATAAATATTTTCTTTTATAGGCATATCAAAATTGGGCTAAAAATAATGTAAATATTGACAAAAAATTACCAGGTTTAACAAAATATTCAAATGAACAAATGTTTTTCATCCATTTTGGTTATACTTGGTGTACTAGATTAAGTGTATCACGTATATTCAATAGGCTTATAACTGATGTTCATTCGCTTGCACATATAAGGTAATTTTATGTTTATTCTTTTGCTATTACAGATATTATTATTATTTAATTCTATTTCAGAGTAATTGGTTCTACATCAAATTTTCATGAGTTTGATCGAGTATTTAGTTGTAAACCAGGTCAAAGAAATAGTCGAGTGAAAAAATGTGTTGTTTGGTAGTTATATATATATATTTTTTTTTCCTATATTGAAACAATAATTCAAAATTGTTTGTTTGTTTTTTTCTTTAATAAATTTTAACCTTTGTGAAATGTAGGTTGAAATATGAAAACATTAATTTCGCATTATTATTCAACTTGAAATACAACTAATTATTTAATATTGGCTATGTCTTGTTTTTCTGATTTATTGAAATAAGACGAAATTGAATGATTAAAAAAAACTAATAGAATGACTTCATATTGTATTATCTATTTTCTAAAGAAAACTCGAAAAACAGAAACGAGATTTTTATTAATATTTGTTATGCATTTTGCGTTCTCTTCTTATTGATATTCTTATTAGCATTGTCAATATTGAATCAAGTCAGAGCTCGAAGGAACGTTCATTCCAAACTCTTCAATATTGTTTATGATGCATTTTCTCATAGTCATAGCTAATTCGAACAGATAATATTTGACGCGAATTTCAGTCTATAATCAAACAAATAACCTGTGTCAAGAAAGTCTTGGTACAAAATATTTGCTCAGCTTTCGGTCTTTTAAAAGAGATTAGTGAGAGTTCAAAACAGTTAGTACGATTCGGTGTTTTGTGCTCTTTCAGAATATGGACTCAGAAATCGGGTATCTTGTTTTGTTCGAGAACAGTGAGAGAATCTTTGAAGAAGCCTGAAAAATTAGTTTGGACAAAATTGGTTGGCCAAAGCTTCTCGTAACAATATTTGTTCCTTTTTTGCCTGCTTGGACATTTTTCACATGGGTGAAAAGCTATAGGTTGTGAGGGTGTGGGTGTGGATGGGTGTGGGTG